TACTACTACTATTCAGATTTACACACCAACCACCAAAGCCAAAGATGAGGAAATTGAAGATTTTTACCAACTTCTGCAGTCAAGACCAAACATGCAATCAAGATATGTTGATTATCACTGGTGATTGGAATACAAAAGTCGGAAGTGAAGAATCACTGGTGGTTAGAAATATGGCCTTGGTGACAGAAAGAATGCTGGAGATCGCATGATAGAATTTTGCAAGATCAATGACTTATTCATTCCAAATGCTCTTTTTCAACAACCTAAGCGGCAGCTATACACATGGACTTCACTAGATGGGGTACACAGGAATCAGATAGACTACATTGGTGGAAAGAGGCGATGGAGAAGCTCAATATCTTTGGCCGAAACAAGGCCAGGAGCCGACTGTGGAATAGACTATCAACTGCTCCTATGCAAGTTCAAGTTGAAGCTGAAGACAATTCAAACAAATCTACAAGAGACAAAATATGACCTTGATTACATCTCTCCTGAATTTAGAGACCATCTCAAGAATAGAGTTGATGCATTGAACACCAGTGACCAAAAACCAAAGGAATTGTGGGATGACATCAAGAACACCATCCATGAAAAAAGCAAGAGGTCACTAAAAAGACGAGAAAAGAAGAAAAGACCAAAATGGATGTCAGAAGAGACTCTGAAACTTGTCTTTGAGTGGAGAGTAGCTAAAGCAAATGGAAGAATCAGCAAGATAAAAGAGCTGAACAGAAGATATCAAAGAGCAGTTTGAGGAGACAAAGTTAATTATTACAATGAAAAGTGCAAAAACCTGGAGTTAGAAAACCAAAAGGAAGAGCATGGTTGGCATTTCTCAAACTGAAAGAACTGAGAAAATTCAAGCCTCTAGTTGCGATATTGAAAGATTCTATGGACAAAATATTGAATGATGCAGGAAGCATCAAAAGAAGAGGGAAGGAATACACAGAATCACTGTACCAAAAAGAATTGGTTAATGTTCATCCATTTCAGGAGGTGGCATGTGATCAAGAACCAGTGGTATTGAGGGAAGAAGATGAAGCTACACTGAAGGACTTGGCAAAGAACAAGGCTCCAGGAATTGATGAATACCCACTGAGATGTTTCAACAAAAGGATGCCTCACTGGAGGCACTCACTTGGCTATGCCAAGAAATTTGGAAGACAGCTACTTGGCCAACTGACTAAAAGAGATCCATATCTGTACCCATTCCAAAGAAAGGTGATCCCACAGAATGAGGAAATTATTGAACAATAAATATCATTAATACCACATGCAAGGAAAATCTTGGTGAAGATAATTCAAAGATGGCTGCAGCAGTATATTGACAGAGAACTTCCAGAAATGCAAGCTGGATTCAGAAGAGGATGTGAAAGGAGAGATATCATTGCTGATGTCAGATGGATCTTGGCTGAAAGCAAAGAATACCGGAAAGATATTTACTTGTGTTTTATTGACTACACAAAAGCATTCGTTTGTGTGCATCCAACAAGTTATTGCTAACATTGAGAAGAATGTGAATTCCAGAACACTTAATTGTACTCATGAGGAACCTGTACATATACCAGGAGGCTGTCGTTCAGATAGAACAAGGAGATACTGTGTGGTTTAAAATCAGGAAGAGAGTGTGTCAGCGTCATATCCTTTTGCCATACTTATTCAATCTGTATGCCGAGCAAATAATCCGAAAAGCTGGACTATATGAAGACGAGTGTGGCATCAGGATTGCAGGAAGATTCATTAACAACTTGCTGAAAATGAGGATGACTTGAAGCACTTACAGATGAAGATTAAAGACTATAGTCTGCAGTATGGATTACATCTTAACATAAAGAAAATGAAAATCCTCCCAACTGGACCAATAAGCAGCAACACAATAGATGGAGAAAAAATTGAAGTTGTCAAAGATTTCATATTACTTGGTTCCATAATCAACACCAATGGAAGTGGCAGTCATGACATCAGACAATGTATCTCATTGGGCAAATCTGCTGAAAAAGACCTCTTTAAAGTGTTGAAGAGCAAAGATGTCTCTTTGAAGACTAGGTTGTGCCTAACCCCAACCATGGTATGTTCAGTTGCCTCATATGCATGTGAGAGCTAGACAATGATTAAGGAAGACTGAAGAAAAATTGATGCTTCTGAGTTGTGGTGCTGGTGAAGGATACTGAGTTGTGGTGTTGGTGAAGAATGCTGAAAATACCATGGACTGCCGGAAGAACAAACAAATCTGTCCTGGAAGAAGTGCAGCTGGAATGCTCCTCGGAGATGAGAATGGCCTGACTTCGTTGGGCCTACTTTGGTCATGTTGTCAGAAGGGACTATCCTCTGGAAAAGGGTATCATGCTTGGTAAACTGGAAGGTCAATGAAGAAGGGGAAGGGCCTCCATGAGATGGATCAACACAGTGGCTGCAATGATGGGCTCAGGGGTAGCAAGGATTGTGAGGCTGACACAGGACCGGGCAGTGTTTCGTTCTGTTGTACATAGGGTTGCTATGAGTCAGAACCTACTTGATGGCACCTAATAAGAACAACAGCAGCAGCTTTTAAGGCCCAGAAATAAGAGGCAGGCTTATATAGAGGGCTTATACATCAATTCCTTGAGTGGTAGAGTGAAAACTTGATTGTAAGAAAAAAGGTCAGAAATTTTCCCACCATAGGAAATAATTTTAAGTAAAACATCCCAACATATTTACATACAGCTAAAATACTACTTTTTGAAATACATTCACATTCTCAAATGCATACTAAAACACAAATATATTTTCCCACCTTCAGTAAGATATAAGTGCTTTTTATGTACATGGTAGAATTTTGTTCAAAACAAATTAGAAATTAAAAGATGGAAAAGTTAAATACACAAATTTCTAAGTCCTAGACATGAATACTTTTTCTGTACATTACTTTCAATCTGTCAACAACTATGACTTGAGTATCGTTTGCACGGAAGGCATTTGTTTAAGATTGCTACTAAAGGATATGCAATGAAGTTTTATTACACTGTTTAAAATCTTAATTTCTACTTAAAAGGCTGGCTGAAATGATGCCGGCCCTTTTACAGAAGTTCCTGGACAGGCTGAGGTTCCACAACTGCATGCTTGTTCAGAAGGCAGTCTGTGTCAAAATGCAGATATGTCTGATTTGTGTGTTGATTGCAAAGGAAATAACTGGATGGAAACCAACCAAACTCACTGCCGTCGAGTTGATTCTGACTCATAGCGACTCCTCCTTGGGTTTCCGAGGCAATATCACTACGGAAGTAGATCGCCCAACCTTCCTTCTGAGGAGTGGCCTTCTGCTAAGGCAGATATTAAATTATACCTGGGGAGTTAGCTTTATTAAAAACACGACTTTAACGGCTACTTCATTACTGGAGGAGCTCTGGTGGCATAGTGCCTAAGGCATTTGACTGCTAATCAGAAGGCTGGAGGTTCAAACCCACCAGCCACTCCTTGGAAGGAAGATTGGGCTATCTAATTCTGTAGAGATATTGCCTCAGAAACCCAAGGAGGGGTTTCTGGGAGTCAGATGCGACTTGACGGCAGTATAACTTCATTATTAAGCAACAACAAAAACAAAATTTCTAGGGGCTCCTGACCACAGCTGTGACAATTTGCCCATCAAAAAGTAAAACTACAATGGATTGAAATACATTAACATAAAAATCTACGTGTTTATGTCCAAAAAAAGAAAAATCTAAAAAAAACCCTAATATGCTAACATTTCAGGCAACTATTAAACCAACTCCATACTTTGCAAGTTCATAATTAAATGTAAATAAGAAAACATTCAACTTGCCTTTCTAGTAAGAACTGTATTTCAAATGGCTCAAGTTAAGGAGTAAAACCTGTAGTTTATATAGAAATGCCAACTAATAAATGCAAAAGAAATGACAGAACTGGGGAAAAAAAAATCTACAAATAATAAAATTACTAATTTAGCAAGGATTATCAATTGATGTTAAAACCTCTAAATGAATTACTAATGGGGGACTGGGCATTCATTTAATACCAAAGAAACTTTACAGATAACTCACTAATCATGGAGGGGAAAAGGTAACTGTACGATGGTGGACTGGTATTGTGCTGGTCCAGTGGACTAAGCATCATTCAATGAGTAGTAAATAGGTCAACCACAGTCTGGGCTTTCTGATGTGATACAATATGAAGCCTATATCATCACCTATGATATATTCTAACTAAAGTGTTTAACTTGAATCCATGCGGACTTTAGATATAACTTCAAGACTACAGGTAGCTCAGGGAATAACAGAACAAGCTAAATACCATGAGAAAACAGCTAGACATATTCCCAAGACTGAATTCTGCAGGACAACTGCTTCGATTTCTTTAGCAAGACAATTTCTGAACAAAAGGTCTGTGTTAGATTAAAAATAGATTTAAGTGACTTTAAGGTATTTAACCAGTTGTAAAGTAGGGTCACAGAATGAACACCAGTTTGGACAAACCAACTGCAAGTTTGGGGAAATTTAAGTATGGTCTTGGTATTAGATAAGGTAAAAATGTTTTGGAATGGGGAAGTGAAGATTGTTGACTGAAAAAATAGATTAAAAAAAAAAAAAAAAACACTATGTAGAGTATGATCTTATTTTAGTTAAAAAATGTATAAAGATGCAGAGAAAAAGACCTGGAAGGATATGCATGAAGGTGTTAACAGTGGGGCTGGGAATATAATTTTCCTTATTTTTGTTCATCTATTTTTTCTAAATTTCCACACTGTACTGGTATTGCTTCTAAAATAATAGAAGGTTGTTTTAAAACAAGAACTTCTAGAAATTGTTCAAGGTAACTGATTACAGAAGGTCTGTAGATCAACAAGTACAAAAACAAGGAAACACTATCCATCTTGTGACATGTCCTATTTGTAGGTAAAGAAAGCACTTAAAGAAAATAAACTCTTATGTGCTTGGTTTGCAAAAATAATACTAACAACTAGTAGAAATGTCACTGGATAATAGATGCCGGCAAGAGGACAATTTAAATTATCTCTGAAATATTCCATTAAAAAAAAAACCACACACAAGTAAGACACATCTTGCAATGCATCATTCACCCTCCAAATCAAGCCTTAACTCGTAGTGTTCAGCCTCAGAAAAGATCCTGGTGCGCAGTATTTCAAATGTGTAAATTAGTGATTTCACAAGAAGCTCATAACCCCATCCCAGGCTGATTCACTCTATGTCTCCGGAGTGGCATTCGGTTCCGAGTCTTCCTGGGGAGGAAGAGCTGAGGCTTCTTGTTCAGCAAGGGCCTCTCGAACTTGGCTGCCCAGGACTGCATCATGAATGCTGTAGAACAGCAGATCCTTTAAGGCAGGATTTTCAAAAAAATGATTTCGGGTCAGGTCATTCACTACTTGTGCTATAAAAGAAGAAAAGAAAATTAGGTCACACTCTGGGTATCAGTCTTGAACATTTAAAAAAAAAAAAAAAAAGTAACATACTGATATTAAATATCAAAATGATATAATCAAAGGTCTCACTCCAATCCCTATCCCTATCACACTATACCCCCAGTCCCTAGATGCTACTTTTTATTAGTTTCTTGTGTATGTTAGTAGTTCCCTATGTAAACATAATCCAAATCCAAATTCAAACCCACAGCTATAGAGTTGATTCTGAGCCACTGCCACCTTATAGGACAGGGTAGAAGTGTCTGTCTCATAGAGTTTCCAAGGCTAGAAATCTTTATGGAAGCCGACTGCCTCATCTATTTCCCACAGAGTGGCTGGTGGGTTTGAACCACTGACCCTTTGTTAACAGCTCAGTGCTTTAACCTCAGCCCTACCAGAGCTCCTTATGCAAATATAAAAGACAAATATATATTCTTGCCTCTCTTCTTACACAAAAGAATGTTTTTCTACTTAACCTCCCTCCTTTTTTTTTTTTTTTTTAAACTGCATGGTATTCTCTAGTGTGGATATACCCTAGTTTACTCAACTGGCCCCTTTTGACACCTGAGTTGTTGCTACTCTTTTGTTTATTACAGACAATGCTGAAATACAAAACCATGTTCATGTGCCATTTTGAAAGTGGGCAGCACATTGTTGGGTTAACAGGTAAGCATGTTTGTAATTTGGAAAGATACTGATAGGCTACCCTCCCTAGAGGCTGCACCAGTTTGCACTCCCACCAGCAGTGCCTGAGTCCGTGCCCCCACACTGTGCCCACAGAGTCCATTGCCAGACATTTTTCATCTTTGTCAATCTGACAGGCAAAAATTGATATCTTTATGTAGATTTCATTTTCTTTCAAGCATTGTTTTAACCAAAATTTAGTATAAAACCAAAATTACAAGCAAGGTATTCCAAAACCACTGGATAGAAAAACAAGCAACCTGAATGATTTTCCATAAGTATGTTAGTGTCAGTCATTAAATAATTACTAAAATTAAATAAGTACTAGCATAGAACAATGATTTATTAATTTCTATCTTCCAAGTCCAGTTCAGGAGGACTGCCACAAGTAACCCAATGATATTAGTGAATAAAGTGGCTCACTTCAAGGCTGGCTTTAGGCTGATTTTCAATACTTTTATGTTTACAACTAAATTAAGGAAAATATTTCCAATGTACTTATTAAAAAAGAGAAACAAAATCATTGTTAAAACTTCTCCCCAATCTAGACATGTACTCACCACTGCATCCTGCTAAATATACATAAATACCGACATCTCCGTATTCTTTTACGATCTGTAATAATGTTGAAATAAAGTTTAGTTTCTCTGGACTTTGTGCCAGATGAAAATCTCTTTCTATCAATATGTATTTCAGAGATAGGGAAAACCGTAATTTATTTACTTGGGCTACTTCTCTTCAATAATTATATATTTTTGAGCTAATCATCTAAAAATAATTTTGTATTTCTTTTGATTTTTATAGACAGTGATAATCAGAGATATTGGTGAATTATTATATATTTTATTTACACTTAATAAAGGTATTATGCTAATCATTTTTTAAGAAAAAGAATCCTCTTCTTTTAGATATATACTGCAATATTTACAGATGATGGAATAACTGGTATATACTTGAAAAATAATAAGAGAAGGAGGAAGTGAATGTGGGGTATAGATGAATGAAACCAGATTGACCGTAGCTGATCGTTGTTGAAGCTGAGTCATAGTGATATGTGGATTCCTAACACTATAGTCTTTGCTTTTATGTGTTTTTGATATTTTCCATTATCAAATGTCAAAAACAACCAAACAAAAAAGAATTGAAAGCTGCAAAAGGACCCTAGTTCAACAACCTAATTTTATGACAGCAGAACTGTGTTCACAGACACTAAGTGACTTGTTTAAGACAATGCTTACCCCAGCCACCGTTTTCACTCCAACAGAATCAACAAAATTGACTTGTGTAAAATCAAGAATGACAGTGTGGACATTATCCCCTGGAGGCATAAATCTTTGCAGTTCTTCAGGAAACGTGCTTTTGATGACGATTGGGGGATATTTTATTTCATTGTCCTCTTCTTCAGGCTTGGTACCATCTTCTCCATCAACTTCTGCATCCTACATCAGGAGTGAAATCAAACCAGAGTTCTACACACATTTTCAGTTCTCAGAAAGATCTATAAGGGAAAGTCAGAATCTGCTCTTACATTCTCATGCTACGGACTCTACCAGACGCCTTTTAAAATATTTGTCATATCCCAGCCTTGTAAAGCAACAAAAAAGGATGTGTACATGACATTCAATTTTATCCCAGTGTCTTTTCTCCTCCTCCTCCTTTTGTTCAATGAAATCCACTTTTCTTAGTAGTCATAATCCATTTGTTACTAACTTCTAAAATAGTTCCATTAAACATTAATATGACAAGCTATAAGCCTAGATAACAAAATGCAAAATGCAAAAAAAAAAAAGTTACCAGCTAGATAATCTATGACAAAGTACTAATGGTGTGGTTTTTATTTTTTAAAACAATGTTCTGTTGGGTAGATATACTACTCATGGTCAGCATATTCTTATAAGTAATTTTATCACGCACCTTTACTATATAAAGCATTGTTTCTAAGCTCCTATTTTAAGCATTTCATGCTGTGTTAAACCCTCAATCATGTGGGTGCAGAGCAGATCAAGAGAGAAAAGAAAATAGCAGCGACAAGACCACTCACCACTTTGACAACAGTTGCATTGGCCATACTTGCATTTCCAACTTCCTTAGCATACTTCCTCATGGCCTTTCTTCTTGCGCCCATTATGAGCGCTGGGTTCACTCCAGTCTTTACAGAACAGCAATATATTTAGAATCACTCCATGTCTCTCAAGGTCAACAACATGCAATTCAACTTCTAATCTCCATATTTAACTGCTTTCTATGCCAAGCTACCACCCTAATCCTCACTCTATCTTTCCCTCAGATGCTCTGAACTTCATTATTCCCTCCTTATTGAAAGAAATTGGTAGCCTTTCTGATTTTCAGTCTTGATTGGAGAGAATCAGAAGCTAAAGTATTAAAGAGAATTTTCATAGTAGTATTTTTCAAACTTAGACCTTCCAGATTCTTATATATAAGACTCTGTGGGTGAACTGGGGGGTTTCCTTACATACTAGGCAGTTTGGGCCAAGTTCTAATTGACCAAAGGAAACCACATGATTCCATTAAAAAAAAACAAAAAACAAAAAAAACTGCACTGCCCTGGAGTCAGATCCAACTCATAGTGACCCCTCCTTGGGTTTCTGAGGCGGTATCACTACAGAAGTAGATTGCCCAACCTTCCTTCTGAGGAGTGGCTGGTGGATTTGAACTGCCAGCCTTCTGGTTAGTAGTCAAATGCCTTAGGCACTATGCTACCAGAGCTCCTTGACTCCATATAAGAAACCTAAAATTAAAAATTATTTTTTCTTACTTTATTTTCTTTAAAAGGTTTTAAAATAGAATATGTAATATGATAAAAGATAATCAAATAGTATGATAGAATTCACCAAGACAATTATGTTGCTCTCATATCCCCACCTGTCAACCCCTAAGACCCCCTCCTCAGAAATAACCACCTTAATTTCTTGTGACTCACCTTTCTTTTTAATGCATTGCTATACAAGTCACTATTTGCATAATAAATTGGGGCATTTATTTGGAAAATTTTAATTCCAGGAATTTCTTTCACCTGAAGAGTGAAATATTAGTGAATTTAACACATGGAAACATTTCAGGATCAAAACTGCAATTGTCTCCCTCCCCCAATTTAAAAATTAATAATAATAAAAAAATACTCCCAAACCAAACTCACTGCCACTGAGTCGATTCTGACTCATATCGACCCCTTTGGGTTTTCAAGGCAGTAAATCTTTACGGAAATAGATTGTCCACTCTTTCTTCCACAAAAAATTAACAAGGGAGTTAAAATAATGTCACAATACTCTTCTTAATCAGGTTCCCGAGGACGGAATACTGAGGAAAAGCTGTTAAAAATGCACATATTCTCATTTCTTTTAAAAGTCCTTCTTTCTCTCATAACTACCATAATACACAAATAAGAAAGAACTGGAAAACAATAAAAGAGCAAAAAAGATGGATAGGAGAGACTGAGAAGCAGGTAAACAAAGAGCAGAGGTTCACATTGGTTTGAATCAGGAAGTGCACGAAGGCTTAAGTGAAACAGCAAATATTTTATCAAGACTCTTGGAGAACTGGGGTGCAGTTTAAAAAACAAGTAAGCCAGCAAATAATTCTTTTGGAAAAGGGAAGAACAGCAATCCTAACCCTACCCTCATTTCCTAATACATTATAATGAGTCTGAGAATTTTTTCTTAAGTATAAAACAAAACAAACAAAAGTATTTGAAAAGATTTTGTAAATGTCTTTGAGATTCTACAAAAAAACAAACAAAAAATAAGCACAGACATTTTAAGCGATACCTTTAACCATTAAAAATGAGATGGGACAACCCTGAGACCAGAAGAACTAGATGGTGCTAGGGTATTAATGCCAACCACTCGGAAAGGGGTCAAAATTGGAGATCCTGCATAGAGTGGGAAGAAAAATGTGGAACAAAATTCAAAAACACTTAAATGACCAAAACTACTGATTGGATAGAGACTGGTGGAATCCCTGAGACTATGGCCCCAGGTCATCTTTCAGGCCTGGAACCGGACTCACTTCTGTGGATGAGCTCTCAGCCAAACAGCAGAAAGGCCTATAAGTCGATCAGGGAGGTGCACCCGTTAGATCAACCAATCGTGAGTGATCAGGAGGGCAGCACCGGCATAGAGGGAAAGCTGGACAGACAGAAAGAACAGATCAGAAGGACACAGGGAAGGGGCAGTCACACGGAGGAGAAGGGAGGAGAGCTTCTTAGTTTTGGGATTGTAATCAGTGCTGTGAAAACAAATGAATTGTTGAGATTAAAACCAATCTGCTAAGTAAATTTGTACCCAAATCACAATGAAAAATTAAAAAAAAAAATGAAGTGGGAGGATGCTATAGTCCTACCAACTATGTCTTACATGGTTAGAAATTAGTATTTTATCTTTGATTTAAATTCATCAGAAGAAAATGATGCATGTACAAATCTTCTCAAAAAATTCAGTATTTCATAAACATGTACTTTAATTCCAAGAATACATATTTATCCCCCCAAAAAAGAAAAAAACACAAATATTAGTAAGCTGAGCATTATATTATATAATGTAATATAAGATAATAATATAGTATAATATTATAGTATTATAAATTACACAATTGTCTCTGGAAAGTTCAGGCTTTTCACTTTGGCTACTACACTTCCCACCCCCACCATCACTTTCTGTCCTGGATAAAAATAGTATCTAGTCAATCACACCAAGTATTTACAACCCTTTAAATATGTTAGAAAAGGTCCTACCTCCTCATATGCATCTATATCAATATACACATCAGTGTCAGGAAGCTGTCCAAGTACTTTGTAGCTAGGACTGGAGACAAGAGCGCACATTGAAACACAGTTATGTTGAAGCACAGTATGCGATTTAAACACAAGATTTTACACATTGGCATGCCATGCATGGATCTGTCAGTGAAGTCAAGAATGCTTGATTCTTCAGGTGCCTTTGCAGACGGGCTCTCAAATACCACATTTTTAGTGCCATTCTAAGGGCTAACACATGATAGACCTACCACACACAACCTCATGCCACACACATGCACCCGTACATACCACATATCCATCTTATCACACCCACCCCACACATACCACACTTTGCACACACACACACATCACACACACCCACACCCATATATATTACATACTACACATACATACCACATAAAAAATTTGGCATTTAAAGATGGGGGCAAAATGAATTGTGTGAAGTCCAAGTCATGCCAGGGACATATATAACTCAAATTCTCCTCACGCCACTCAGTAGGAAGAATTTCCCTCCTGCTCTAATTCCAAAGTAAAAGAAGGTATTTCTTTCTTTCTTTCTTTCTTGTTGTTGAAAATATACATAGCAAAACATACACCAATTCAACCATTTCTACATGCACAATTCAATGACAATGGTTACATTCTTTGAGTTTTGCAACCTTCTCATTCTCCTTTTCTGAGCTGTTCCTCCCCCATTAACATATGCGTATTGCCCTCTAAGGTTCCTATCTAATCTTTTGAGTTGCTGTTGTCACTTTGATTCCATATAGATCTAAAAATAGCACAGTGCTCAAGGCAGACATTTTTTTACTACTTAAGCTAACTACTCTTTGGTTTTAGGACACTTTAGGGGATATATTTGGTTTAAGGTTTAAAGATTATCTCAAAATGATAGTTTCACAGGTTCATCCAGCCTCTGTGGCTCCAGAATCCCTAAGTCCATAGAATTTAAAATCCTGTTTTGCACTTTTTCCCTCTTGATTAGGACTTTTCTATAGAATCTTTGATTAAAATGTTCAGTAATGGTAGCTGGGCACCATCCAGTTCTTCTGGTCTCATGGCAAAGGAGGTAGTTAGCAATTGGCCATATAATCTATATGCTCCTCTTGTGGAAGAGAGGATTTTTTGCTTCTAACCAGAGTCACTGATTCATGGAGGGAAGGTGGAGGTTCAATTGATGGTATGGGGAGAAAACAAGATCTCATTTAAATTAAAGATTTTTTTTAAGTTTAATTTAAATAGACTTTAAACATGTTTTGACAGGCCTAATTTCTAACTCTTCTTATAGGGCAATCTGGCTCAAAATAAACTATAATGACAGATACTATTTACTGAGCACTTAGTATTACCTTATAATATCCTATGAACAACCCACTGGACTTATTACTGGCATTGTGTAGATGAGAAGTTGAAGCTCAGTGGGGTTAGGTGAGCTCTTCAAGGTCAGAGAGCCTGGCAGAGCCAGAACATGGCTCACGGTCTTTGATTTGAAATTCCAGGGCCTTGCCTCTATGCCTTGGTGCTTCCTAGCAAGTATGTGAAAGTGCTTTGTAAGTTAGAATATATAAATTTATACCTGTGGTTACACTCCAAATTGGAAGTGGGTTTCTTTAGTATGTTATTGGGGCAGTATCAGTGTAAGGTTTGTCTTAAATCAATCTCTTTTGGGAGAGAAAAGAGAAGATTGAGCAAGCAACTGATCAAGCAGGCTGAGATGGGGGAAGATGCCTCGTCACATAAAAATCACCAAGGAACCAAGAAACAGAAGCTGAAAAGAGACAAGGATTTCTCTCAGAGCCAACGGAGAGAGAGAAAGGCTTCCTCTAGAGCTAGTGCCTTGATTTGCCTCGAATTCAGACTTCTAACCTCCTAAACTTTTTGAGAAAATAAATTCCTGTTTGTTGAAGCCACCCACTCGTGATATCTGTTATAGCAGCCCTAAGCTAAGACAGTCACTCTAGCTTTCATTTATTCCTGACTCGAGGTTTCCATTCAGGCTGCTTCTCCAGCTTAACATCTCTTTCATCTCCTCCTGTCTATCTTGTTCCTACTGTCCTAAAAAAACCAGTTCAAGTCTAATCAACTCTTAAATTTTTTCTTTTTTCAATTTAAAATATTCTATTACTTTTCTTAGAGCAAACCCATCAACAAAAGACAGAACATAAAAAATCAATTTTTGTTAATTATTTCAGAGAGAAAGAGAAGTATAGCATTAAAAAAAAAAACTTGTCCAACTTTAAAATTTGATAAGAAAGTATAAAAACCCTATTTGATAAAGAAAACAAAACAAAAAATTCAATAAAAACAGATCCCAAATTCCATATTGTGGCTGGTTAAGAGTTACAGATATTTTTAAACCACAATACTTGATAATGCCCTGATATAATAAACTATCAAAAGTACTAATACTATTTTACATATATATATAAAACTTTTCAGATAAAAATAGTATTAGAATTTGTTATTGAAACTAGACTAATTCTTCTCTTGAGTGTAGAATCCCACATATTCTCAACATTTTCCCTGTTGTCATTTTTGATTAACAAAATGCCCATTTTCTACTGGGGAGTGGGGAGCATCACATTATTTTGTAGATAAAAAATCAACATCCTTATCCAATGACCTTTCAATGCACTGCAGTCAAAATTTTGTGATTTGTAACTACAGACAAAAACAGACTAACCTTATTTTCATTCTCCCTTGGGCTATGGAAGTAGCTCTGGTGGCATAGTGCATAAAGCATATGGCTGCTAATCAGAAAGTCAGTGGTTCAAACCAACCAACCACTCCATGAGAAAAGATGGGGTAATCTACTTCTGTAAAGATTGACAGCCTTGCAAATTCAATGGGGGTTGCTATGAGTTAGAATTGACTTGATGGCAGTGGGCTTGGTTTTGGTGGGTATGTTAAAGAGGGAAGGGCACTGTCATTTGTTGGGTGAATAGTACATGTCAGGCATTGATTGTACTATGCTCTTTGCACGCATTATTCTCATTTGAACCTTATTACAACTTTTTGAGGTAGAAATGATTGGTTCCATTTTAGAAATGGAGAAACTGATGCTCAGGCAGGTTATGTAAAATCACAAAGCTTATAAAAGGTGCAGCTAGGACTTGACTGACCAAAGTCAAGGTTACTTCTATGACATTTATTATTTTTTTTCTTTATGGTGACTTCTTTATTTATCTTTAACATAGTGTATATATATATATATATATATATATGTGTGTGTGTGTGTGTGTGTGTGTGTGTGTATATATATAAAAAGTTATTTTATATCTTCCACAGTGGGCTCAGCTTCCTACTAGGAGAAGAGATGACAGGTGATAATGGTTCAAGGTGAAGGAAGGGACAAGGAACACCTGCATATGATAGATAACTTGGTTGTCAGAGTCTACTCTATGTCATAGAAACCTATGTCAGTACCTGTATCAAAGCAAATTGCAAGAACACAAGGTCCATTCACAAGAGCTAAATAAATCAGTGTACTATTAGGCCCATAATGGCAGGAACAATGATGTAAATTAGGCTCTCTTACCAAAATCACTGATAAAAAATATGAACTGTGACACAGCAGATCACCTGGAAAAATTATATTGAAATTTTCATTTGCCATTTTTGCTGATTTAGTCAACAGACCCATGAGTCTTATAGCTTCCTCTCACACTAAAGAGCTTGCTCAACTTCTATCAATTCAAGCTTCAGACATTTAAAGGCAAAGCTCTCAGTCGGGACCCTCATTCACTCCCCACTTTGCCCACTCACCTCTGTGTTCTGTAAATAACAGTCAACAGAGCAATGATCACAGCAGTAATCAAACCATAGTCCAGTCCGAGAAACAAAGAAGAAACAAACGTGGTAAGCCAGATGGTCTAAACAAAAGACAGGAAGCTTTATATCACAAACGTGAAAAATTCAGTAAGAGTTAAAAACACACACATAAAATGGTACTTGAGCAAAGCTACTTTTACCCTGTCTAACTGGATACTGCATACAAAGACAACTAACTTATCTTTCTCACATTTTATCAGTGCCACTACATATTCACCTAACAACCACTTTTGTTACTTACCAGCTCTATTTTGCTGGTTCTCCAGAAAAAGGGGAGATCTGAGAATTGCATAAACATTCCTTTCAGGTTGACGATCACAATGGCCGACAGCACAGCCTGAAACACAGCACATCTATGCATGCCTCTCTTGCGTCCAAAGAGGGCCCTTTGCCAGTCCCTCACTGTTCTCTCCTTCTGCCCTCCCATGTTCTCTTTCCACTTCCTTGCTATGTGGTTGTCATGTTACACTTAGAGCCATGCATACCTGGATTCTCGGGACTCGGTTACCTAAGCTAGCCTTAGAAAACCACCAGTTCATATTCTAATAGCAAACCTGTACTGTGCTCAAGAAATTCAGAATTAAACGTGGCACTCAAGGAACTATTTTACCCATGGTTCTGCCTATGCTATTATTTGGTCTGTTCTCTATATCATTCTTGATCTTGCCTATATTAAATATTTCAGCAAATAAATATTTTATGATGGTAAGTCTTCTCAGATATGAAAGTATAATGTCATAGAAGATCAAAGATAGAAGGGATCTTTGAGGTCAGCCAGTCTACACTTCCACTTCGTAAATAAGGAAACTAAGGCCCAGAGGAGTTGGGATGACTTTCCCAAGGTCTTTGGACAGTTGATCGTAGCGTTTGGAGCAAGATCCTGGCCCTATCCCTGGTCCTTTTCCTTAGTCCACCTTGCTAGGGTTACAGTAAAAACTCCTAAGAGAGCCAGAAAATATAAACAAATAAAATAGCAAAATCTCTGTACATGGAAAAACCTCACACCAAGTCCACACTACACACCTGAGGTAATGATTCAAAGAGGAATCCAGTGGCTAATATGACCAGCAGAATCATTAATGAGGCCAAACAACCTGCAAGCTGAATGAGAGAAGACACATGGAAGGAACTTTTAGGAGACTTGAGTAAGAGCTGGGGCATGTTGTTGTTGTGATGTGCCGTCGAGTTGGACCTGACTCATAGCGACCTCTCCTTGGGTTTCCAAGGCAGTATCACTACGGAAGTAGATCTTCCTTCTGAGGAGTGGCTGGTGGGTTTGAACCACCAGCCTTCTGGTTAGCAGTCAAGTGCCTTAGGCACTATGCTACCAGAGCTCCCAGAGCTGGGGCATAGGTAGGTCTTACTCTTTTGATAATCACTGTGGAAAGATCAAGGAAATATGGATTCAAAGAAATCATCCAAAGCACTACATAAACCTATGATTTCCTCTCACTTCCTCTCTGAAGTTTTATTTCCTCTTATAACTTTTAAGCAGAAGCTGAAATGTTTAAATACCCTGATTGACATGTCATTGCTGGAAGTGGAATAAAGGAGATGTCTGGTGCAGACCTGAGACCCACAAGGGCCAGAAGTATTCAGATGAGTGTTTGCTGTCCAATTCGGTAGCCACTAACCACATGTGGCTCTTGAGGACTTGAAATGTGGCTAGTGTGACCAAATAACTGAATTTATTTTAATTGTTTTTAAAATTTAGCCATCTGTGGCTAGTGACTGCCATATTGGATAGCACAGACATTGACATTGAAAGTTTTATTGGATGGTGCTATGTTGGAGTATTGGCATCTTGCCCATACTTACTCTCAGAGTTTCAAGACAACATCCCAAGTCTGAACTTCGAGGTTTACTAGTAGCAGGTCATGTTGTATAACTTTCTGTTTTAACTGTAGAATATATGTCTTTCCTATAGATTCAGTTCCTTGTAATTCCATTCACCCTATCATGCCTTCCTCCGATTCACTACACAGCTCACTGGAACATGGCCCTGCAGGCACAGTAGCTTTGTGTATGTTCAGAACAGAATCAAAGGATTACATTTTTAATTACCACTCAAATCACTGGTCCATAGAGGCCAATTGTATACACACCTGTGTTTTCCCACCAGTTCCCTCCTGAACAAGGCTTCGAGATAAGGAACATGAAATTGAAAAGGTCTGGAAGAGTGAGCCAATGGAATTACACAGTCCCAGGGCAATGAGCTCCTTTTCCATGTGAAAACAAAGCACAAAAGAGGTAAGTCATTCTCCAGGAACAAAAGTATGATGGCTCATTAAATACACATTTTCAGTGGCACAGATAAAAGAATTTGTTTACATGAGTTCTAAATAGGAATTCTTGTATATTTCATGATGTAGAAAACACTTTGCATTTTTATTGTATTGGAGATAAATGCTGTGCTCCCTTCCCCAAGCCTCCTCCTTCAACACAATTTCTACCTCACATATGATGCTATTTAATTTTTTTTTTTTTTTTTTTTAGAAAATGGAAGTAAAAGGGACAAATATTTTTGTTGTTTAAGAGAAAGTTACTGGTGTATAGAACTACTGGCTTCTTTTAAATGCCTGAGCTATTGCTCATTAATATGTACATGCCAGTGTCCTTCTGGGACCAGTGAGTCCTGCTCTCAGGGCTACCTCCTAAGATTTTCCTAGTTTGATCACTTTATCTTGTATGAATGTGGAGCATTTAATCTTCTCTTAGAGATACACAGGGTGTTAAAATAGTCTTTGTCATGCCAGGATTATAGCTCATGCTGTTTGGTTTCTGTAGCTACCATATAAAAGGTGGAGGCCAGCAGCATTGTGGAACTTCTGTAGTGAATCACATACTCAAAGTGTAATGAACAAAGAGAAGGCTTCCTAGTGGGGAAGAAATGGTTCTGGAAATACATTTTATTCTCAGGTTATTCTTACAAACAAAGATAGCATCTATAGAAGTACAATAAATCTCAGATTAGAGATTTCCCTTTCCTAGAAGGACCTCTGTGTCCATGAGGTAAGGTAGGACTCTAGACCTCAGGGTCCTGATGATCTAACACATATAAATAGTGAAATAAATTATAGTGTTGAATAAATACATGCTCCAAATATATTCATCATCCAAGTACAAGTTTTCCTTCCAAGACTGATAAGCCTAGTTCATTTGTCCTCCATATGTGACATGGTGATTGTACTACTATGAAACATCTGTGGGAAATCAATGATGTTACCTGATTGCCATCAACCTGGTAGCCATGTTTATTTGCCAAGGTCTTTGCCATTGAGATGGTCACTGAAAATCCAACGATGGCTATGGCAATGGCATCCACATACACAAGGTGGAAGAGGCTGGTATCTGGATTGGCTGGAGGTAGTAGCCTGAAAGGTCAAGCTGATTTTAACATGAGTGTTGTGACTGCTGGGATAAAAACAAACAACTAGAGGGAAGCACTCAAGGGGGATGTCATTTGCAAATGAGGTGATCAAAGCTTAGATACTTGTTTGCTCTGATTTTGCAAAAAGGAAGACCCTCCTGGAAATAGGTTCTCTTCAGGTCCAAATCCAAGAATACTGGCTTTCTAACTGGATAGGTTATCAGCAGAGATCAGATACTATTTGATTTATAAAAAAGAATAAATTTATACCTCATGGAACCCTGTATGGCAGGTGTAATTAAAAAACAGAACCAGGAAGAAGAGAGGGTCAGAGAAGTACCTAGATGCTATAAGACATTTAAACCAAAGACTTAGGGTGAGAAGGGTACTGGGTTATCTTAAGAGGAGAATTAGGAACTCATTTCTCTCTCGTTTGGTGTAGGGAATTTGAGTCTATTACCTCTTCCATATTATTATCCCTTTACATGAGTTTCTAACAAGGAAAAGGAACAACAGAATCCTTGAATCTCACCTGGGAATTTCCTGAATCTGGAGGGGCCAAAGTGTGACTCCGGGAACCCCAGAATGGAAAATCTGGCTTTTGTGGTCTTATTCTTGTAGTTTGGGACCCTGTTCTAAAGGAACAAAATAGGGATTCCCTGGAATGTTATAGGGGATGGGACAATAGAGGTTTACAAAGGCACCCTGCCCCAATTCAGGGCATTGAGTGAAATAATAAATAATAACAATCAATTAACTGATAACAATTATTATTATAATAACAATAAACATTTATTAGATCCCTCCTATATTCCAGGTTCTATGCTCATTTAATAACCTCCAATAGCTCTATGAGTTAGGCAACATTATAATTCCCATTTTACAGAGAAGGAAAATGAGGCATAGTCAGTTAAGAAACTTGCCCAAGGTCAAAGAGCTCATCTGCTAACTATGACAAAAACTATGAAGATCCCACCTCCCTATGCCTATTTCTGTTACTATGTCACAGGAAAGGTGATGAAAGGGATGTCTCAAGTTCTAGGGTAAGGTACAAGGGAGGGAGGAAGGGAGAGGAACCTAACATCTATTAAACCTAGATTATGTGCTAGATGCTTGACGTATGTCATCTTATTTATCTTCACAGCAAGAGAAAAGGATGCATTTTGGAATGAATAAGAAAAGTAAACCAAGAAACAGGATATATCATGATTGGGATCTTTAACAGTCAATTTGTCACTTTCTAGCATTACAACATTTCTATTTTTATTTGTGTGTGTAGATAGATGTGGTAGTTTACTTGCAAAATGGCCACCAACAATTCCACCCATCTTTGTGTGTGCATGACACTCCTGCTATCTAGAAGTAGAATCTACTTCCCCTTCCATTGAATCTTGTCTGGCCTTATGACTTGCTTTGGCCCACAGAATGTGGTGGAAGTGATGCTGTAGGAGTGGCTTAAGTGACCTGGCCTGCTAGCTTCTGCTTTTCTTATCTCCATGACCTACCATGTAAAAGAGGTCTGTCTAACTCTACTGGAAACTTCATGTAGAAAGAAGATGTCTGCTGGCTGCCCTCAGCCATTTTAGACACTCTAGCTGAGGTATCAGACATGTGAGTGAAATCCTCCAGCATCAGTCATACCTTTAGACATCTGCAGCTGCACGAGAGACTTCAGTGAGACCGGCAGAAGAACCACCCAGCAGAACCCAGCCTAGACTAAGAATGTGAGCAAATAAAAATGGTGGTTGTTTCAAGCCATTGTTTTGTGGTGGTTTGTTATGCAGTAAAAGATTCTCAGATAACTAAAATAGTATGATGTTTTAGTACCCATCCACTGTGATCAAGTAAATTCTTACTCATAGTGACACTTTAGGACAGACTATAACTGCCCCATAGTGTTTCCAAGGCTATATCTAGGTTGTTTTTTTTTTTTTTTAAATTGTGCTTTGGGTGCAAATTTACAAAGCAAATTTATTTTACATCCACCAGTTCATGCACAATTGATTTCACACCCCAATTACCATCCCCAACCATAAAGAACTCTCCTCTCCACCCCTCCTCTTCCTGGGACTCCCTCCTCTCTGTGCCCTTCTTAATTATGCACTCCTTTCTGTCCAGCTTTCCCTCTATATGAATGCTGCCCCTCTGGTGTCTCATGGCTGATTGATCTAAGGGGTGCATCTCCCTAGAGTAGGTGGGTACGTCACCCTGGGGTAGAGCTCTGCATGTAGGTCTTTCTACTGTTGGGCTGAGAGCCAATCCATGGGAGTGAGTCCATTTCCAGGCCCTAAGGGTAACCCGGGGCCACAGTCTCAGGGGTCCCATCAATCTCTGCTGTTGTTGTTGTTAGGTGCCATTGAGTGGTCTCTGACTCATAGCGACCCAATGCATGGCAGAACAAAACACTGCTTGGTTCTGTGCCAGCTCCATGATCCTTGCTATACTTGAGCCCATCGTGGCAGCCACTGTGTCAATCCATCTCCTTGAGGGCTTTCCCTCTTTCCTTAACCCTCCACCTTACCAAACATTACATCCTTCTCCAGGGAATGGGCCTTTCTGACAACATGACCAAAGTAGGTGAGATGAAGTCTGGCCATCCTCACTTCCAACGAGCATTCCAGCTGCACTTCCTCCAGGACAGATCTGTTAGTTCTTTTAGCAGTCCATGGTACTTTCAGCATTCCTCTCCAGCACCACAACTCAAAAGCATCAATTCTTCTTCGTTCTTCCTTATTCATTGTCCAGCTCTCACATGCATATGAGGCAATTGGAAACATCATGGCTTGTGTCAGGCTCACCTTAGTCCTCAAGGAGACATCTTTGCTCCTCAGCACTTGAAACAGTTCCTTTGCGGTTGACTTTCCCAATGCTACACATCGTCTAATGTCCTGACTGCTGCTTCCATTGGCATTGATTGTAG